AATCTGGGTGAAATTGCAGACTCCCATGGGTTTTCTTTGTATTGCCACGATGCTTTCTTCAAAACGGGGTTGTTGGAGGATCTCTACACCCAGCCACGGGCGTCGTGAGTTACTGCAAGGTGTAATTATGGTCTGTGCATACCGTGCTATGGAAATGTTTTTCTGCCAGATTCTGAGCTAGGAAGACTCAGCATGGCCCCGTCCATCCCAGCAGAGCTGTGGAAATGCCTTTGCACCAGCTTGAGGCTCTGGTCCTTTCCATTTATGCAGAAATCCCTCGCAGATGGGGCAGCAGACGGGAGCAGCGCAGGTTGTGCGGGCGTCACCAACTCCGCCTGCTTTTTAAAACACTGAAGCGTGGTTGCTGGACTTAGGAAACGAGGGGAGATGGGCATGCTGGCCTTGGGAGGCTGGAGTCCTGTTCCCAGTCAGGGATGAGCCACCTCCTGTGGGTGTTTGCACAAGTCCTGGAAACCTTGCAGATCTGCCTGACAGACGATCTCCGCCTCGGGTGGGAGCAGCTCCTTGGGACAGGGCAAAGACTGGGACGTGTCCACCCTGCCCGCTTCTCACCAGGCTTTCTGCTTGACCCTAAGAAATCAGAATGGAGACAGGGAAAAGAGAAAATAAACCGTGCTGGATCCTCCCCACTCTGTCACACATGGATTTGAGGCTAAGATGCTACTGTACAAAATTATCAGACTAAAGCTGTGACCCATCCTTGACCCTCTGTATCCTCTGCGACGGTCCGGCAGAGGTGACAGCTGCTTCCGTTGCTAGGACAAGGCACCCAGATGCTGAAATATGTTCATAAATAAATAAATCTTCCTGCTTATTGCTGTTAGAATTGCAGCCTACCTGGCTCTTCCCGTTAAATAATTCAGAGGAGAGCGCAGCCAGGCAGTGCATCGAGCTGCGGCGGGGGAGCACGCGGGGGCGGCTGATGAGGATGCGGCATGGGATGGATCATGGGGTAACCCAAGTGGCTGCTGAGAGCAAGGGAGGGGTTTTGCATTAGGTGCCTCGTGAAATATTAATTGATTATCGGCCTGCGTGCCGGGCTCTGGCTGTGGACTTCTCCTGCCTTTCCTTGCGAGAGCGTGTTGCATTTGCAGGGCGCCGCGTGCTGTGCGTCTGCAAGCTCTCCAACCCAAAAAGTAGCCTCAATGTTTTGTAAGATCAAGGAGGTGCTTTGCATCGCGTGTCGAGAACGATCATCTGCTGTAAGTCTTGTCCTCAAGAGGGGAAGCTCGCTCTGAGCTCCGTAGCAAATTACTTGGTCTTTCCTTCTCCTTTAGGCTCTAAAACAAACACAGCAGATTGATCCTACTTTCTTTGATCTCTGGAAGCGATGCTGTTGAATGCTGTGGGGTTTGTCTGCGAAGAAGTCTACTCTGGGAGGTTTATTATCTCTAAGAGCCCGTTCCAGCAGTGTTTGATGTTGCTGGGGCTTTTTGCTCTTCATCTGAGCAGGATCAGGCTTGCTGCAGCCCATGCGCGGGCTGGGAGGATGGATGGCTCAGCAGGTGGCTTTTCATGACGGTGGAGTGAAAACCAAAGTCTGGTGCTTAACGAATGATATTAAATAAGAGACGGATTTAAATGAGCTGGGATCTCTGTGAACCTGTTGGGTTTCTGTGGACTCAAAACACTTTACTCGTTACTGCCAGGCATTCCCAGCTATAGCATTTAGTACTGTGTATGAAGTTGCAATGCACCTGGAGATCTGTAAAAATTTCCCTGGGAATCAGGAGCTTTTAGACCCCTTGACTTCCAGTGTTTCTCCTCTTCTTTTAAAAAAAATAACGACATAAAAACTGATCCCAAACAATGCTGTTGCTCTCGGGGAGCTGATGGCTGGAGAATGTGCAGCACCATCGCCGGGCCAGGTGGAGATGCCAGGATAATCTGCATGAAGGCGTCTAAAGGCAAGTCCTGTGCTGGACCGGGGTGTGCACACGGGAAACGCCAGTGAGAAACACTGGGTTAAAATTCACCCCCTTGGCTTTTCTTAGCGTTGCCTTGACGTGGATCTGGTGGGGCAGGAGCGAGAGCAGGGCTCTCCCCCCCCAGCCTCTCCCCACCACATCAAATCTGCTTCTGCAGCCAGCTCAAGTGGAAAACTTCACCCCGAGACGAGCCCGGCTTGCAGTGGGGAGCCACGAAGGTGATCTGATGGGAAGTGGCAAAACCAGCAACATGGGGAATAATTGATGGGACAGGGCTGGGGTGGGCAGTTCACCCTGCGCCTCCTGCCAGCACCACCCTGACCCCCGGTGCCGGTGCCAATCCAGGTAGAAAAGTGTTTAATATGTTTTTCTATAGCTGGCTGCTGGAGGGTCATCTTCGTCGGCTTGTTGCTGGAGGATTGGTTTTTCCTGCATTCAGCGAAGAAAAAAAATGTGAATGGATATATAAGGGAACTTAAGCCAAAAGTAGGGAGATACTTTGAATAATGGCCATAATTAGTAGGGCTAAATTAAATTACGTTGTTGCACGTAGGGCTTTTGGGGAAGAGCAAGGACCGTTTGGGCAAGAACTGCCCAAAGCCCATGGCAGGGCCCCAGGCCCGGGTGACTTGTCCTGCAGTCTAGGGGCTGGCACCCTGTTTTGGAGAAGGGGAGAGGAGCTGTGGGGAGATGGCTGCTCAGCTCCTGCAGCAGTGACGTGGGGACATGGGGATCCTCTCCGGATCCACGTATGGCGTGGGCAGCTCGGGAGAGAGGCATGAGCAAAGGGCAAACCCAAGGCTTTATCCAAAAAGCCGTCCTTCAGCTGCAGATTTTAGATGGTCCATTTAGTAATCCTCTCCGTGGTGTGGCTTTCCTTCTGTAATTGCCTTCTGTGCATCCTTATTTAGCCATTAGCTGCTATTGTGGAGATACAGGTTATTAATTCCTCCCCTGCCCTGACTTTCACTCTGGTTCTTTACCGACGGTCAAGGTGAAGCCGTGAGGGCTGCCAGAGCTGCTGTCTCCATGAAACTCTCATTAGAAAATATTTTTCTCTCTTTGCTGTCTCCTTGTCTTACATGGGGGGGTTTATCACAGGAACTGATTGCACCTCAAGCCCAGATTTATGGCTGGAAATGTGTGCTTGTGATTTTAATATTCTTTATGGCTCTTTTACCTCTTTCTTTCTGGCATGGTGAGCACTGGAGAAGGAAATAGTCAGAGATTAAGAGCAGAAGATGCATGTAAAAGAAAGGAGGTCGTGCCCTGTGGTGGATATTTTTTTATTATTATTTTAACAAGTGGTGTTTTGCCAGAGGTCACCTCTGATTTCTCCTTTCTTGCTGGAGCTGTACAGGCTGGCGGAGCCCTGCGGCAGCAGCTGCCGTACCCCCCAGCCCATCAGGGCTGAAGTCCAAGGCCGGTTCCCATGGCCGGCTCAGCCACGTGCAGGAGGAGCTGGTGGCTTTTCTGTCTGCGCTTCACGTGGCTTTGGTATTCGTCACTAATCCCCGGGGGACAGCAGGGGAGGGGAAGTGCACGCACGCACGCACGTTCTGTAAAGATCCGGGGTGCCTCCTGGTCTCTCATTGCACCTTTATGCTTTGAAGCTTCTCTCCAAAATGTGCTTCTCCCCACATCTCACAAACACGCCAGCAGCTGTTTGTGCCCGATGTTGGGGTGTTGGGGCGATCACGCAACAGCACCTGCCTTGCAGTGAGACTGTGAGAGCAGCACGGCCCCATCTGCCCATCCCACCCATCGCTCTCCTTCCCCCCCCCGTTGCCGCTTTGCCCGTGGGCAGGGTTCAACGTGCCACCCCTTGGGCGCTCCTTGGCCCCCCTGGATTTGCATCTCACACAGGGGCACGGCAGCCCTGACAGCCGGTGGAGCATGAAATCATCCTGCGCTGTGGCTGGGGTCACCGTGGCTCTTTTCCCTCCCGGGCTCGCCACCTGGTCGTGGTTTTAATTGAACTCGCTGCAGATTTGAGCACTGTTTCAAAACACTTGGTCTGAAGCTGCTCACCAGAGGAAGGGTGAAGTGTAGCAGAGGAGGGAAGGCAAATTAATGCTGGGGACGGGATCCAAAACTAGCAAATTTGGGGGCTAGTCAGGCCATGTATTAAATCTTTCAGGAGAGGCAATCTATCGTGAAGCTGGGAGGGTGGGAGGGGAGGGGAGGAAATTGCTCTTGGGGGCAGTTAAAAGTTCACGTGTATCCGGTTTTGCTCCCCTCCAGCATCAGGATCCCATCCCGTGCGGCTCGTAGCCTGGGGACCCCCAGGCGCCTTGGCTGTGATGCCCACGGGGACCCCCCCAGCTGCCCCGCTGCAGCCCGTGTTCCCTGGGCTCCGGCCGGAGCAAGGCTTGCTGCGACCCCAGGGAGCCCCAGCCCCACGCAGCCATCGTCGCAAGGTGCATCCAGCCCCAGCAGAGCCACGGTCCCCCCTGGCCCTGTGCCAGCAATAATACATTGGCTTTAATTAAAGCAGTATTTTTCATCTCCTTCATCCATTATTTGGTTATTACTTCAGAATGAGCCAAGGAATTCTTGCTTCCCCCCACTCCCTCTCTTTCTCTTTTAATCGGCTTTCTCCCCCCTTCCTTTTGCCCTTTTAGTGTCCTTTCCCTCATCCCCAGGGTTTTAACTTTTCTTCAGCTATCACCAAGTTGTTAAGATGAGGAAGGCCAGGTTTTGTAAGGACTCATTCCTTCTGGTGGGATCAGCTCCTTGCAGCGGTGGGAGGCACTGGTGGGAAGCAGCTTGGATGCCCCGGCCGAGCAGGGCAGGAGCTCGAAGGTGGAAAAGCTCAGGGGTGCTCGTCCTGCCATGCCGGCACTGCCTGCGGGAAGCAGCGGAGATGGTGTCCTCCTAGGAGCTAATGTCCGAATAGGAAAAAAATGTATTTGCAATGAATATTTTGTTCCAAAACACCCTGTGCTCAGTGGGATGCTCGGGGCTGGGCTGAGTTCAGCTGGGGCTGCAGGGGATCTGCTGCGAGGGGTGAGATACGCCAGTAACGCTGTCATTGCTCTCCTCCCCCAGGCCCTTCCCGTCGGAGGAGACGACGGAAAACGATGATGACGTGTATCGGAGCTTGGAGGAGCTGGCGGAGTAAGTGGCCTCGCCTTCTCTCGGGGAGGGGACACAAAAAGGGAAACGTTGCAATGTAGTTCCAGCAAAGTCGGATAAAACTTGACAGCGGGGCTCGGAGAGCCGGGCCGGCTGCTTTGATCGTCTTGCCAGGAGATTTTTGTGCTCTTACAATAGTCTCATCTTTTCCCATGCAGAGCCCTGGGAGACATCACTTTTAATCGAGTTGAGTTTGTGAGTGGCTCGGTGGGGGGGCAAGGGGGAGCCAGGTCCACAGGGAGCCCCTCTGCCCGCTAAATCCCATCGTTCGCTGCAGAACCCCGGGACGTAATTCGTCCTCGGAGCCGACCAAAGCTGAGCCACTTGCTGGGACTGAGGTACCCATTGCTAACTCAGCGCTGGGCACCGCCCCATGGCGTTTTTGGGGCTGTGTGGGTGCTGGCACGTGGGACTGCATCCCCCATGAGTGATTTTGGACCACGCCAGCCAGCCCCGGGGCAGCCCCTCGCAGGGGACCCGTCCTGCCCGTCACTGGCAATGCAGCGGGATGTGGGGTGATGCTGCTGGGGTTTCTGTGTCCGTATTTAGCTGGGTCTCTGGTGTCTGTTTTGCTGCCCGTGGTGATGATATAAGAAGCTTTTAAGCAACCTTGACTACAACGTATATGGTGAAACATGGGCTCTATTGGAATTCGATGGCAGCGTTCCCGTCCGCTTCGGTGGGGCCAGGGTTTTACTTATGAAGTGCAGTCTGTTTCATATGGAGGGAAAGTCTGTATGGGTGGATATGTGGCTTTATATAGTTAAATATTATTGTTCCACAACATAAATAATAAGACTCCTTAATCCAATGAGTTCCTTATGGCTTCAGTTATTACAAAAGTAAATCATAAATTACCAGTCAGGGGAATGCAGTACCCTGGAATCCCCTGCTCGCGGTTTGCTCCCAGCAGCTAGTTTAATAAAATGTTAACTTATAAAGGAATCCTTTCAAGAATAAAATTCCGCCCCCCCAAAGTTCTCAAAATCCCTTTAATATTGGGTTTAAAATTCCTGATTCTCGCACATAAGGCGTGCTTTTAATTGGAGAAAGGCTTGTGCGTGAACTCGCACGCAAGCGCTGCTGGGGATGGCAGCCCCCTCCTCGGAACGGGGGTTTCAGCGTGCTGTGCTCGCAGCTCCCAGCAGCTCATTCGGCGTTGCAGATGGGTTCCCAGCTTTAACCGCTCTGCTGCCGGCGGTGCAGCTCCCACAGGGTGTCCAGGTGGAAGCTTCCCAAACTATTCCTCGGACCCTTGCTCATGGCTGCGAGTTGGTCCCTCTGTGAGTGGGGCTTAGGTGCCCAAGTCCCAGATGTGCTCAGATGACTTCAAAGTTTATTTCTTACCAATCGCCCCGTTCTGTCCCAGACTGTCTCCAACTTCCTAACTGTCCCTTTTTTCCCATTCTTTGCAAAATCCTCCCCTTTACATCTTTAGTTAGGACCACTGGGGAAAGGCGTGTGTAAGCCAACATGGGGATATTGCACAAGTGCCTTCATCCAGATCCGCGCTCACGGAGCAGCCAGGTTGTGCACGGAAACACGACCGACAAAATGGAGACGGAATTCACCCCTAACTGTTAAAAACCCCAGAAATGCCCCGGGGAGCCCCTTCGCACAAGCGTTGCCGCTCCGGCTGCCTGGAGACACATCAGCAATAGTCCTTTCTCCCTTGGACAAGGAGCGTCTCTCCGTGCTTGACAAGGAAACTTTCATTGGAAATTTGCCGGTCACAATGGTGCATACTGGGCACCGACGCTGGGCGCTGGCAACCCGCGGGGCCGCATGAGAAAGCTCTTTCTTAGCTGCTGCCGATCTCTAAACTGCTGAACAAGGGCGTCTTTCACGAGCTGGGAATGATTCAGTCCATCCAGCATCTTTGCATTTAATATTGCTGACGATCTAGCAGCCTTGGGAAGATCCGAGTGCATCCAAAATGCTTTAGTGGAGGCGAGGAAATGATTTTCACAGCAAGCGGTGAAGTGACCCCCACGCCTGGCAGGAACCGCTGCCCGACAGCCCAGCCGGGCACAGCGATCCTCCCGACTGCAAGGGAGACCCCTCCACCCCGGCTGGTTTTTCCACATTAACCGGCTGCATCTGTGCAGCTGAGTGATTTTTTGTTTTGGTTTTTTTTTCCCCTCTGGATCATTTTGGAGGGATCATAGAATCAGTGAATGTTTGGGGTTGGAAGGGACCCCTAGAGGTCACCCAGCCCAACCCCCCTGCAGGAGCAGGGACACCTTTAACCACAGCAGGTTGCTCACAGCCCCGGCCAACCTGGCCTGGAATGTTCCCAGGGATGGGGCCTCCACCCCTTCTCAGGGCAACCCCTGCCAGGGTTTCACCACCTTCAGTGTACTCTGCCCGCAGCCTTCTCTTCTCCAGGCTGAACACCCCCAACTCTCCCAGCCTGGCCCCATAGCAGAGGGGCTCCAGCCCTCGGATGCGCAGTCCCGCCTGTAAAACCACTCTGAAATGTGCCTTTGCAAGGGCCCAGCCTGCCGGTGGCCTCCAAGGGCTGGGGTGCAGGTGAGGAGGGACAACCCCGGTGGGCTCGGCACCGCCAAGTCACCCACCTGGAGAGAGGGTTCTCCCAAAGGCAGCTCTCTTTGGTTGTTGTGCTGCTGGGATCAGTACTGCCCTGGCTCTAACAAGACATTTTGGAGGCTGGTAAAAATATTTTGGGTTGGTTTTTTTTTTTTGGAGAATGACAAAACGCTTCATTTCAACCTTCAGTACTTAAACGGAGCGGTTTGGTGCCCCCCATTTGAGATTTTTGGGTGAATTCCTGTCCTGCAAAGCATTCAAAACATAAAAGTATTTGTGACGGAGGTGCAGATTTGGGAAGCAGAAGGAACCAGGCTTTGTCCCCGTTGTCCCTGTGATGCTCTAAAGAGCGAGGACCTTCATCCTGGCGGGCAGCGAGGTCCCTCCCGGCACGGAGGAGCTGTGGCAACCGGGGACAAAAGCCAGGGCCGGGGCTGGGAGCGGATCAATAGCAGTGCCACGAGGGCCGTTTACTGCAGGAACAAGCCGGCTGCATGCAAGCATGAGGTGGCTGCAGGGGGCTGGTGGATAGAAAGGATGTTCATGCCTTGATGAACCCATTGTGCTTCCACCTTCGGGGTATCGCAGAGATTATGCTGGGCTGCATGCAGCTCCCCAGCGCTGGGTCAGCCATCCAGCAGATCGAGGCAGATAATTGCCTGGAAACAGCTATTTATTAAAAAAAAAAAAAAAAGAAAAAAAAAAAGAAAGAGTCACCACCACCACCACCTCCCCCCCAAAAAAAAGAACAATTGGTGATGGAAAGGGGATGGGAAATTAAAAGGGTATCAGGGGAGCCAGAAAGTTCTCAAATTCCCCATTTTCAGCCCGCCAGCCCCTCGGTTTGCTTTGCCGTCGGCCAGATGGCAGCCTGCAGAGAGCCTGGGCAGATGGCGAGGGCTGGCCAGTTTGCAAGTGGTGCCTGATCAATACTGGGAGGAGCAGGAAAGGGACGTTTCGCCTCTGCTGCCTGATTTATTTCTGCATGCCCTAATGCCAGACCCTCCGGCAGCAGCCAGTTTGGGGGGAGTTTGCCCAAGAAATGAGCAGGGCTTTGCAACAGCAACAGGCGGGCACGTTGGCTGGAGCCTGCCCCCCCAAAATCAGAGGGACCCTTGTCCTGAGGAAGCACGGCTACGGCTGCCGGGCACTGATAGAAGTGGGCAGTTATCCACCTTACCGCTGAGCATCTTCCTCGCTGACTGCTTTCCCGTCTCTCTTGACGGCTGTTTCAGCTGCCCCAAACCATTCTGGTACTTCTGAAGTTATATTTAAGACTTAACCTAAATTTTCTCTGCCGCCACTTAAGCTCTCCCCGGTTATTTCATCTCATTAAATTTACGAGAGCAATTAATCCTGGTCCTCTTTACAGCTCCAGAGCCACCTTTATCATGAACCTTCTCCACTTCATGGCACTGTCCCCCCGCGCTGGCACGAGGCCCGGCGGGCTGGGGTGGATTGCACCTCCGGTGGGTTTGGGCTTGTTTAGCAGCTATTTGAAGAATTCAGAGTCAGGCAGAAGTGCTGTGAATGATTTGACATGAAACGTTTCATTTGCATAACTTTCACCCCCCTTTCACCTTTAAAAGCGAATTGCTGTGAGGGGAGGAGTTGCAGCGTTGCAAAAAGGACAGAGAAAACGTTTTAAGCAAAGCAGCTCCCCACCAAACCCCACGCTGGAGCCGGCGTGTGCCCCCAGAGGGGGATTCATCCCCCGTGTTCGTGTCCCCTGGTCTTGTTTCGAGCCGCAGCTTGCTGGGGATTTATCCCCAGTAAAAGCATTGGGGATAGTGGTGTATTTCCAAATCTTAGAGAAGGGGAGTTGCAGAAGATTTCCCTCCTGGCCTCAGTTTCTCAAGCGATGCAAGTCCTTTGGGCACAGACTCTGCCAAGCATCTCCTGCCAAGGGCTTCTTGCTGAAGTTTCTTCTACTTCTTTCACTGCTGTCACCAGCGCTGCCTCCTCGTGTCTTCCAAAATAGTGATGTGATCAGCAGAATTTCTCGAGTGCATTAAAAAAAAAGTAATGAATAGAGGCGCCAGGGTGAGATGATAAGTTAGCTGCCACTTTTCTCATTATTTTTGCTGTGTTGGAAAAACCACGCGTGCCAGCCGGTTAAATAAATGGCTCCGTGGTACAAGGCACTTCAGTCATAGCTCTTGTAAACGTGTCTTTTCTTCTTTGTCACCCCTAAAGATTTTTATATGTCCTGCTTGTGCCATCCCTAGGATCGTGTTCGTTTCTGTAACTGTGTGAGGCTCATTCTTGGGATTATAATGTTCCGCTTTGAATGGGGAACATAAGACCTGGGTAGAATAGATGGCAAAAGGCTTCTCTTGCTATTTCCAGCCGCGTGTCTCCGTCCAAGTACAATCTAGCTAATTAAAACCCTGCAAGATCTCGCGTCCAACGACTGCACATCTTGCACTCCT